TCGATCGATTGAGACAATTTATCTTCAGCTTTAGATTCAAAGAAGAGCCAGACGAATATCCTGTATTGTTAAACGAATTTTTAACCACCTACCAAGAAACCGATCAATTCGTTAAAGACCCTTTCGAAAAGACCTACTATAGTGAAACCTTAAAAGACAACCAATCGGAAGAAGATACTGAGGACATGGCCCAAAAAAACAACAATAACCCTCCTCCCAATAACCTAAACAACAACCCGCTCAACAACGCCAATAACTCAAACAACCAAGCTAATCCTATGGATAACCTCATGCAACAGATCCGAGCTCTCATTGCCCATATGCAGCAGGCCACTGCGTCGCAGATTAACATGCCAGCTCCTCAAATAAATATACCCGCACAGCAAAGGGAGCTTAATTTAGTCGCCTACCCTGAGTTCTCTGGTGGTGAACAAGATCCCATCACTTGGGTGGAAGACATGGAGAAAGCCTTTGAGGCCAATCTAGTTTAGGACAATCAAAAGATTTCTGTGGTAATTCCAAAACTGAAGGGTGCTGCTACCACTTGGTGGATCACTATTAGAAACCAACAACAGCAGCAATAATTACCTGCTATCGATCGATGGGACAATGACCTGAACCAAGGACGAAGTTTTCATTCCACCTTCATCACCCACTTTCAAACCCCTGCTCTGGAAAGCAAATGGTTTGCCCAACTTATACAGAGAAAACAGTACCCCGGTAAGGACGTCAACACGTATTATGTAGCCGTAGAGAAACTTTTACGACGCGTGGAAGCAGGAGGACATCAGTATCCTGACACCGCCAAAGCCCAAATGTTTATTAGCGGGTTAAGACCCGACCTTGCTGCGTCAATCGCCCCCTTCATACCTGGGACCCTCGCTGCCACCTATGAAAGGGCAAAGGCTTATGAGAATACCTTTAAGCAAAACCTATCCAACCCCAATATTCCTCTACTCTCCGCCTTTTACTCCCCAATACTTGTCCCTCCCAACACCAGACCAAAATAAAAATAAGACTGATGAGGCTATTAATAAGCTAACCGAGGCCATTGATAAGATGATGGCCCAGTATAAGGAGGCCCAGGAACCTCCCAAAAAGAATTGAAACGGCTGGAACAACAGTGGTTCCAGAGGTCTATGTCTCCATTGTGGACAGAATAGGCACTTCGCTAGAGACTGCCCAACCCTTTTCGAAGAGACAACAATAGGAATGTTACCACTGGAGCTAATGCTACTCCCCTCGGCCAAAATACCAATCGACCACCCCCCAACAAATGACGCCCCAAATAACAATGATGTTCAGAATGTGATACAAACCCTCCTTAATCTTGTAGAGGCAAACTCTCAGGCGAATGAGTCACAAGCTTTTCTGAATCTTCACGACGAGGATATTTTGTACAATATCAAAGAAGAACGAGAACAACCCATTAGATCGACCCAACTTAAGCGACAGAGAACTACGGAAGATTTGTCCCAAGAAATGCATCCTGACCTACAAGAAGCACCGAAAGCTCCCACAACTGGCAAGTTGGCGAAAAAGAAGGATACTAAGCCAACGGTCACACGTAGAAAGAAAATTGAAGATAAACCCCCACAGATTTCTGCTCTTGTTTTCCCTACTCCATTGTTGCCAATGTCAGGGACAAACCTGTGAATATTACTATTGGTCAGTTGTTGAAGGCTGTCCTCTCAATGCGTACTGAGCTATCTAAAGGCCTCTAGAAAAAGAAGAAGGCCACTAAAAGAAAAGGTTGGGCATTTGCTAATCTCCACCCTACTGCGAAAGCCATGGCTCTGTACTGTGATGCGTCCATCAAGGGGAAAGTCATCCCCCTTATTATTGATAGTGGGTCTTCGGGTAGTATAGTCTCTACTCACTTTCTTTAGAACATTGGTATTAAGATAAAGAGACCCTCTACTATCAACATGATCAATATCCACAGACAAAGCAGAAGGGCTATTGGCGATATTTCTGATTTTCCCTTCATAGTGGGAGGAGTGAGAATTCCTATTGATGTTGTGGTCACTAACACCCAGTTCTACTAAGCTATTGTAGAGAATGACTGGCTTTTAAAGGTCAGTGCCAAGATTGATTATACTCAATCTGAC